AAGAAAATTGCATTTGAATATAGAAAAATGACTCAGTGTGAAAGGACTAAATTTTCCCAACTGCTATTCATTCATCAAAAATATATACAAAGTATATTCAATTCTTCATTAACCCTGCATGAAACAAAGAAAGTATGCTTGTGTGTGGAGTTTCTATATTCAGGAATGTGTTGGCTAAGGTAAATAAATTATTAATTTATAATTACTAAAGGATGAGCACCAGTATGCAGGTATGAGCATCCTTTAAACTGAATCAGAATTTGTTTTTACAATATAACTAACACATTTCAATAACTAAGAAGAGCTGTATAAACATGAAGTAAATAGTTGACTAAGGATCTGTTTGGGAACTTCAAACTCCCTTGGAACCTCTCATTTTACAGCTTTCATTTTAAAAGTTGATACTCAGCTCTAAGCTTGTCAGTAATTTTAGGGCAGCAACACTACAGAGGAAATAAGAAATTATAACAAATAAACAGACTCCAACTAGCACAGCTGTTATGAGCAATCATCCAGAAGATACGTATCTCCTTAGAAACTGCAGAAGTACTTATCTAAACACTCTTGAATGCTTCTCGTGAAACGAGTAACAAAAATAATGTCAGCAAGCATTTCTAAATAAACAAACTTTTTTTTAGGGGTTAGGGTTTAAGTTTTTGTTGTGTTTATTTCATTTTAATAATCATGCCCTAGAAATAAGCCAAGGTGAAGGTCACTTACCTCTTACATAGACTAGAAGAAAGCCAAGGCACAGAAGAAGGATACTTTTGAGTTTCCCCATTGTCTTCTATGCAGTGCCTTGATTGTCTTTTTTCCAAGCAATGATGGTAGATGTTGCAACTGCAGCGCCAAGGTTTGAGGGAGACACTTGGAATCAGCGGCTCTGTCCAAAGAGTTCTCTCACCATCACACCCAAACACCACAGAAGTCCCTAAAACCTCTTCTAGTACAAGACAAGCAACAAAAGCAAACAACCCCGCTATGGCCAAGCTGTGAGCAGCACCGTAGGTGCTCCCCGCCCTCTAAGAAATCTATTTATCACCCAGGCAGGGAGCGTGGATTGCTGGAGAACCAGCGGCAGCACCCAATGAGGAGGGAGCCGTCGTGCTCTGAATCCACCTCCTTCCCGGAGGGAAAGCCAACCTGTTTGACATCCTCGCCTTCAAAGCAGGGTGTGGTGCTGCGGGAGCTCAAGCAGCATGTGAGAGGAGACTGGCCTCCTCTGAAGTGTAGTTGGAAGAAAAATCTCTCAGATAGATTCTGTCCTCAAAGTGCTGCTTCCCTGCTCAGGTGTTGGCTGAGCAACAGCTGATCATAAAGGCAATCTTGTCAGAGTCCTAACTGCTCACTCGAGTCTCCATGCTGGGGAAATGGAGGCCAAGAACCTGCTTTGCAGAGACCTGGGAATTGTCTGCAGGAGGAAGACAAAAAAGTTATATTTTATAAACTTTTAAAAAGTGATACTGCACTACCGAGGTATGCTCACCACCTCGGCAGATGCTTGCCTCCAGTAGATAACATTGTTTGTCGTGATTTTTCCATTGATCTAGATATATTTTTAAACATAAATATCCTACATGGAGAGAGATCTCAGTGCCGAGTGTCAGAGCACAAAGCTTTGGGAAATCATCCATCCATCCATGAACATAGTTTAAAATCACTGACGTGATTTAAATTCAGTTTTGTCATAGCCTCTCTCTAGCAAATACCTATGTCAAGAGACACTTGTCTCTTGAACTGGATTGACGCTGTCACACCAGCTCCCAGCACCGAGGAGAGTGGTGTGTGTCCTCCCTTTTGCTGGGGGTTAAAATGCGGGGGGGGGGGCAGAAAACACTGTTCTGACTAGGGCTGGAAATACACTGAGGACTCTGCTACCATGAGTGGCCAATCTGTACACTTGCAATGTTGCTGAGTGACTCAGTCTGATGCGGAGCACAGGCTGGCCTCAATTGCACTTCATTTCAGTTACCTAGAACATACAGTGCATGTGCTGAATTCATGCTTTGATGCCAACTACAAAAAACTGACGCAACAACATAAACTGGACTGATAGAACCTGGTGATACTGGATCTTCAAGAAGCTTCTAGTCCAAGTAGGTCAGATTTGAACACCACCCCCCCCCACACCCCCCCCAACAAATCTGAACCAGCAGAATGGTTTATAAAGGCCTGGTTTACTGCATTGCATGGCTTAACTATTTACACTAGCAGTAGAAGCTCTAAAGCTCAAATTACGTACCATCATTCTCCTTGTCAGGGCCAATTCCTCAATCTCAGACAAGTTAAGGACATTTAGGTTTAAGAGGTGACTTTGTCAGCCAGTTAAAACAAGAACTATAACATGACACAAGCAATCCCATAAACCCACTGTTTGTTTTTTCCCAGAATAACAAAAGCAGGCACACATGTGCTAATCTTCGTATCAGTGATGAATTTGCCTGAAGGGAGCAGGAAAGTTACCAAGGCTATGTACTAGAACCAGGCAAGTCCAAGCAACTCAGAAATGCTCAGTAGCATTTGTTCTTGTAAATGAAACGATGTGTTATCTCACCTGCCTGCTGATACTAGCTCATTGGGATATGGCACGTTCTTAAGTTTGAAGATGATGTACCCCTTGTCTAGCTCTTCTGAAGCCAGATACTAAAGAAAAACAATGGGAAGGTGGCACAGAAAGAAGTGGACCTAGCATTGGAGTCCGGATGTCTTGAATACCTGTCCCACTTCTGTTCTTGGGGACATTACAGGACTTTCTTAATCTCAGCTCCCTCTGTCAAAGATGTGCAACAGCCTGCCCAAGATAGCAAGTAAACAATATATATTGAAAACAAATATAAGGCCTTACACCTGAGCATAAATTACAGTTTTATCACTTTAAGGAACTACTGACCCATGTTTTTCAATTTAAAGGGAAAACAACATTCTGCCTAATTTTTATCTGACAAGGTGGATGACTTGCTGCATTCGTTTTACTTGTTCTTTCAAAAAAAAAAAAAAAGCCCTTGTATTTAAAAAACAGCAAATGGGTGGAGTGTCTGTCTGTCCTTTGCACCCATCAGGCCTCTTTTAGATTAGACAAGCTGAAAGAGAAGGACAGTCACAACTCACCACAGTAGCAGCCCCATCCTTCCTGTGGGTACAGGTTAGACATTGCTCTCTTTGTCATGAGAGACCTGCTGTATGAGTCTATCGGAGATGAAAGAATCAAATTATACACTAGAGCTGCTAGGGAAAGCCACTAATATCCTATAGTATTCATCTTCTGTCATAAGAATTGAAGTATTTTAATTAAAATATTGAAACATCCAGTAATATTAGACATTAATTTAAATATAAACCAAATACATGAGTGACTCAGTGATAGAAGTTCTTGGCAACAGAATAATACAACTACTATATGCTAGCTAAAACTTCAGCGTTTTTTTCACAAGCAGGTGGAGGAACATGATTTTTAGTATTTTATTCTCGTGGTTCTTAAAGCACTCCAAATGTAGGGGTTTGAAAACCCTGTACTTCTGCTTCATTCAAGTCCTTTTCCTATTCCTAATCATCTCTTCCCCTTCTTTCAAATGTGTCTTTTATATCTGTGTAAAAGAAAAGAGCAAGGAGAAATTCTTTTCAGTTTATGAAAAGGTTAGGGTTTGTTTCATAATCTTGTCAGGTGGAGAATACTCAAAGAATAGTACAGTTTAGATGTTGGCCTAAAATAACTAGCAAGAAAAACCCCAAAATGCACAACTGGGAGCACAATTCAGCGCAAGGTACACTGAATGCTGAGTGCACTAAATAGTTTTCTTTAGCATTTAGAATTTGGCATAGACATCAGAATGAGCATGAATAGGAGCTACAGGAAAAAGCTGCAAAATCTTATGCTTAAGAATTGCCTGCTTTCATTTCCACAGCCCAGTGAATTAATTTGGGTAAGTTTGGATAAGTATTTGACAGGGACATCACATTTGAAAACCATCAAAACATTTTTCAAGCAGTCCTTTTCACTGCTGTTCAGGATGAACTAAACTGCCACCACAGCAGATACTAAAGTGACATGATATTCTATTAGAAGATCCTGCTTTGATTTTTTTTCCCTCCTCCTGTTACTGAAGGCAATTGCTCCTCAGTGGAGGAAAACTGGAGTAAAAAACAGAACTGAAGAGGGTGTGCTACAGGGACAGGACTGGGCTCTTTGTTGCCATCCATTTGAACTCAGATTAATGGTGAAAGTACCTCACAAGAGTGAACTTGTACTTTCAGCCTAGAAAGGACAGTATTTTTTCATGCCACTGCATGGCCTGATCTAGACCTGCACTGGAATCTGGAACCTTAATTCCCAAACTGGGACCTGAGTGCTACTGACAGCCTATTAAGGCCGTGATGGACAACAGCTTATCTGTGGGGCGTTACCATAAAAATACTTCAGTAGAGTGATGAATAATTGTTAATTGATAATTTTTCTTGACCAAATGAATGTGAGAAATAATGAATTAGGAAGGTTAGATAAGCTATGCAAGAGCAGTTGAGTTAGGAAGGCACAGATCACAGTTTCAATGGGTAGTAAGGCAAATAGCAGTGTACCAAAGACTACCCTGATAACTAAGTGAACATTTTATCCACAAATAAGAAACAGAAACTCAAAAATTTTCAGCCTGAACTTTCTCTTTAACCTTTTCTTTTGCACTGGGTTTGCATGGCCATGTTTGGGTAATGGAGAGGCTAGGCGGGTGGTTTCCATGAGAAGCTGCCAGAAGTTTCCCGTGTGTCCAATACAGCGAACATCAGCTGGCTCTAAGAGGGACACACTGCTGGCCAAGACTGAGCCCATCAGTGATGCTAGTAGCACTCTTGGATAATGTATTTCAGAAGGGGGAAAAGGTGCTGCATAACAGCAACTGCACCCAGAGAAAGAAGAGAGAAACAGCTCTGCAGACTGTGTAGAAGCGCGTGCAGAAGGAGGGGGGTTAGTTTTTATTTCTAGAGTTACTACAAAAGAAAATACATAAACATTTTCTTTTTTATAGATTTATTTTTAGAAAAATCACAACGTTGATAGGAGGTTTTAATAAGTAATTTCAGGCTTGCAAAAGCTGAAGAAGGATTCAAGAGTCTGGTTAGCTGAAAGCTAGTGTGAGCCCACCATTTTATCCCTAATGAACACTGGCTTATTTCTGTTTTCTCTATACTTGGCATTGATATGAGATACCTGTTTATTCATGTAGGTAAGCAGTACATTTCATTTCTTTGTATTTACATAGATCAAATGTTTATATAAAAATCATTTTTCCACCCTCAAACACACACTTAAAGGTTTTAGTTCTTTTATCCTAAAAGCAGAAGTAAGGAAAAAGAGGTTTACAAATTAATTCCATAACAAAATACTAAGATCTGTGTAAAGCTTTCTTGCAAGCTAAGAAACATGTACAAGAAATTCTTAAATGAATTATTCTTGGCATACATTCATATTTGAATGCACAGATACATTTACATGTTTAATACCCAAATTCATGACTTCTAAGATGTTCTGTGAAATGTCATCTTTCTGTAGAACCCTTTGGCCAGGAGGCTGAAGCACATTAGTAAGACACATATTGTAAAACTGCACAAAAATTGGAAACAATTAGAATGCAAGCCAACAGAACTGGTCAGACTACACCTTCCAGACAGAACTAGTTACTAGTCCAGACTCAGTCCTTTAACTGTTATGAGTTGCAGTTTTCCATGTTTCCACAGATCTTTGAAACCTTCCTGTGGCTTTCGAGAGCAAAGGCCACTAGTGCTTTCAGGTGAGGATGCAGTCATAGGTCCTGATGGCAATCCTTCACAAGTCCAAAAGCATCCTTCACATATATGCTATTTATGTTGTTCAATGGATACTTGTGGAGTGAGGCTGGGTTGTTCTGGTCAGTCTTGCGTTTCAGCACTTTTGAACTGTAGCACTGTTTCTGTCTTTTTAGGGTGTATGACAAGCCTTCTGAATTCAACATCATTTTCTGTTAAATTTTTGGTTATGGAAGCCTGAAGATGTCAATCCCCACCCCCTAATGCTTCATCTATAACTGTTTAGACAACTACCAAACACCAATCTCACCAGATGTACAAAATCCAATTATGGTTCTGATTTGCAGATCAGGCTTTTCCACATCTGATCGGCTCAGTAGTTGCTAAGCAGGAAGAGCCAGAAAGAATGAAGGGTCTCTGTGCACTAGTTTGAGTGTTCTGAATCTGTACCAGACAGATGCAACAACAACAACAGAAAACCAAAAACAAAACTGAATCTTTGTCTCTTGGATGCTCTAGAACAAGTATCTCTTCCTTCTCTAGTGGGTGACCCAGGCAGTTACATGGATTGAATCAGCAGCACCCACACCCAGATTCATTATCCTACACAGTGAGCCATTTGCTTTCAAGGTGCCCACAACATATGCCAGGTTGTTTGGCTGGTACACTCACTGTGTACAGGATATTAAAAAAACTATTTGCACACTGCCTGAAAGCAATGGCGTTAACAAAACACTACTTGCCTCTTTTTCTTTTGGAGATGTATGGAAAAGTTAAAAACACTGAATGCACTTTAGACACACCCATTTGTCACAGGAGTAAAGAATGTAAAGGCACAACATACTTCTACACTCCTGTCATTAAGGCCATATATTGGTGTGCAACAATGCTTCACAGGGCTAACCATACAGAAGTGCTCAGGTCTAAGGCAAACTCCCAGAGATGTTTCAAACAAGAACTATTTTCTCATGCAACTTCAGGCTCTGCTGTTAATGTTATGCTTTTTTTTTTTGTTTCCTTTTTTTTCCCCAGGCAGAATGCAGGCTCTCTGTCCAGTTTCAATGATGTTTCTTCATCATGTTTTCTTTATTTCAGTTCTCCAAAAGTGTGCGCTGAACTAAAAAGTGAGAAACAACTCAAGATTAGCACACTATGTCATTGTAAGTTATGCATTACTATGTAACAGTGTATGTGGACAACAGATTTTTTGAGCAGGCATTTGAAACTGGGGGATAAATTCAGGTAAGCAGAGGCTTGATGCTGTGAAGCCAGTACCCTGCATACCAAGGGATATTACAACCCAGATTTCTTACTCAAATAACCACATCCTGCTAGAGTGCAGCTATCTACACTTGCAGCATAACCTAACATGCAGTGTTTTGCAGAGGCAAAAAACTAAATGGAATACAGTCTGCGTAACTGATAGAAAAAGTGGGTTACTGAACATAGGTGCTAGGCTGAGTCACTTCATTTTCAGGAAGTCAAAGACAAGCCTACATAAAATGTTAAAAATGCAAACCTCTTCTGCCACGCCATCTGACGTGGCTCAATGCAAGACTGCTTCTAACTAGAAGCCATGTAGGTACATCAACACTCTATCACCAAAAGCAAAGCCAATGACTGCTAAGTCCCAGAACTCAGATCAGGAGTAGCACCATGCTGACCATGGTCGCCCAGTTTCTTGGTTCAAAACATGCTCATGCTTGCTTGCAAAATATAACAGAGGTATGAAATTTGGGATGTAACATGACATCAATATATAGGCAGGAGTAATCATTCATGGTAACATCCCAACTTTGACTTTATCAGTTAAAGTATGCATCATTTGATGTGTTTCACATCTGAGTTCTGGTGAACCTTAGCCAAATTTTTGCATCTCTGAGCTGCAAATCATATGTTAGCTGCCTGTGGCAGAGGTCTTTCAACAGCACTGCTTGCTTCACTAATGCTTAGCTGAATTGCGGATATCCGTTTAACTCCCGTCCTGACTTCTATAACCAGTCACAAGAAAACATCTTCTCCATGAGTTTTATATATTTAATAGCTTAAAGAAAAAACGTTCATAAAGAGGATTATGAACCAGATAGGATTTTTTAGCAAACTGATGAATTACCTGAGAGAAATAAGGTGTCATTTATTTATTTTTTTGTTATAAAAAAACAGAACTAGTTCCATGGGATTTAGATTAAGACCACAGAAGAATGTTCCAGTTACAAGAAGATGCTACTAAGTTCAGTCCTCCTTGCCTCCAATGTAGTTTCACCTCTGCCCAAACACTATTAACATTTTTAATACACATTCTTGAAGAGTTCGATATGGACTTGCAATCAAAAATGGTGGTGTCCGATTCCAACAGATGCAACACACATGAGTAATGCACCTGCCAGTTATCTGCAGTTACGGATAACACTACAGGAGCTTACCAGGTGGCTCAGATTGTGCTCCCCGATGGCTTTCCATATTCACATTCTCTTCATCTGCTGGGAAACAAGCAGATGTTTAGCATTCAAATTCTCTTATCTTTCAAGTTGTTGATTAAGAGAAATAATTAATAGAAATAATTTGAGAGAAGAAATAGCACACAAGAAACTGAGCTACTGATGGCAGTTGAGCTGCCTCTGTGTCGCCTGCATTTTAGTTAATTTTAACATGCATGGTAGATGTTTCCAAACTTCCCAAATTACAAAACTGCAGTGACTGGCTGGATGATTGCTCTATCATCACCCTTCACCAGCCAGTCAGACAGATTAAAATGGACAAAACCAAAGTTTCTGCCCCACAGTACTCCCAAAGTTCCCTGATCCAAGTTATATCTTATTTTGGTGGAAAGGAAGCAGACAGCAAGCAACAGATGACTGCAGAAGGAAGAATCATATGGAAATGAACACCCAGGTAGTTGTCAGGAAACTGATATGTAAGCAAGTACCTTGTGAAAACACAAAGACAAGATTTACAGAGTTAGAAACGACAAAGTATTTTTTCAGCATTAAAATAGTCTCTAATCCCCAGCCTCCACTCATTTTTTCTTAAAGAAATGTTTTCTTGCAGGCTCTCCTGCTTACTATTTAGCATGAAGTAGTTTCATTTTAAGAAATGCAGAGCCTAAAGTCTGTCTGCTTCTGGAAGTCTCAATTTTGGGCAAGGCATTCTTCTGACACCCTGCTTTAGATGACCGGTAAGAGAGGTTACTCCCTGTGAACACAAACTGACCATGCTATTAAACTACCTTATGTATAAGACCAATTTCTAGCTCCCATCTAAATACAAAACTGTACCTCTTCAGACAGTAGAAAACAAATCTAATTTAGAATTCTTACCGCTTTGTTTGAAACAGAGTTTCTTCTTTTGGTAAGCAATGAAACTAGATACTGCTCCAATTACTGTTGCAACCACAGCACTTACAATTCCAGCTATTGCTCCCTGAGAACCTATAAGAAATCAAACCAAAACATATATATTGTATATATTTTCAGAATCGAAGTAAACCCTGTGAACACTTCCAAAAAAACAATAAACTGAAATTATTACATTAAACCATAGTAATCACAGTTTGTGAATACTGAAAAGTGAATCGTAATTTTATAATCATAGATTACTTAGCAATGCCTATTGTTAAGCAACTTAAGCATGCCTGTTTTAAGTTCCATTAATTGAAAAAGCTACCTACTCATAGCCTACTATGCATGCAATCACTGTACCAGCATCTCTGAGACCTTAACACCTGTGAATCATTTGCAACATAGAGACTTTTAAAGAATTATGAAAGAGCTTGAAAGTAAGAATCCTAGATGTCACAGACGATTTTAAGATAAAACACAATACCAGCACTGATCGTTCTAGCAGAATATTAGCAATATAGAAAACCCCAGGAAAAAAGCTTCAGACATGCATACACATAAATTTCTGCATTTACCCTCAGCTTCTTCACCATTATTTGGACTTGGGCCCTTTCGTTCTGTGAAAATGAAAAAAAAGGGTTAGATTTTACATGTATAAAGAACAGTCACAGCATCACTGACAATCTTTTTGTCAATTAATTATGCAAAATTACAAACCATCTATTATATCCAAACAGTGCTAAACTCTGGCTTTCTATTTTCAAAGTACAGCTCGAGCCAACTTCAGGCTTGGTTACTCTGTGCTTCTACTAAATGAGCGGAGCACATCTGTGAAATGTGGCTTAATCAACTTGCCCACCACCACAGAACACTCAGTGGACAGGAACAGCATATAATTTTGGGGAAGCATTCAACTGTATTTCCATGGAATCAACTATCTTCCCCTAAAATCCCAGCCTCATTTACTAAACACCTTTACAAGTCTCTTAGCAAAGAAGACAGAATTTCTGTAAATACTACCCTTGTTTGCCATCGTGCAACTCATACCACTGAAAGTGCAACCTTGGCAAATGAAAACACCACACAAGTCTCAACAGACACTTCCTGCCCCTTCCAGTTTTTACAAAGGAACCCTGGGAGGTGAAAGCTTCCAAAAAAATTAGCATCAGTAATCTCTAGGACAACTCTCTGAAGAAGTCAGTAACCAGTGGCACATCTCAACACCACATCAAGATACTTAAGCTAACTCTGATCTGGAGACACTAAAGTTGCAGTAATGCACACTGGGATGTGTTAGGATGAGCAACCTCATCCTAACGATGACCATTACTGCAGCTTGGTCCCAGTGACCATCTGTATACTGAGCTCTATGGTAACAATCAGACATGGCAGATTACTGAAGAAAGAGTTTGGTAAGATATGAAATGGTTTTATACTGCTCAGAGTAAATATACCTTACATCACTTGGAAGTCTAAGGATCATTTCGTCCTGTGGGACAGAAAAAATCCTTGAGAACACAAGACAGACCCTCTTTTGGCCCACACCTGGGCTTCCTAACCACAAGAACTAAAAGAAACTGAGAATATCTCACAGAAGATCTGCAAGTAACACCTGGATTCCTTTAAGAACTATATTCACAGTGAATTTTGAAATAAGTACCACATTCACATCCCACTTTTAAACCCCTTATTTCTTAGCATAACAGTAAAAATCATTGAAGGTTTTACCTCTAGACCAGTTCTACCATTTAATTATCTGTGGGGTTTTGGCAAAAGCAGAACACATTGCTTTTGAACTGGAAGGTATACTCTTAACTTTCAGAAACCAGAACCAAAGGTATTACAAATTGGACAATGTTAACCAGCTTGCAAGCAAGCTTTTATCAAAAGCTCAAGTAGTTACAGGATCAATATGAAGCACAACCTACAATCTTACCATTGTGGCCGCTATCACCACCTCCTCCTTTTGGTAAACTGCCATCATATAGATCTGAATCTTTAAAGTCTATAAAAAGTAAAAATAGTATCATCTTACATGTTTGAAGTTCAGTTAAAAGACATCTCAAGGCACATGGAAGTTTTCTCTAGTTCATTCAGCTGAATTTATGGTGGTCTGAGACTCAGTGTCATAGTCATCAGTATGTTCACATGTCAAAAGCCCTCTCAATCTCAACTCCCTTCAGCTCAGCACTATACAGTTTGATAGCAGTACTGTTGCCTCTGGATTTCCTGAACAACTGAGAGAAATCAGTGTCCAAGAGCAGGTAATACTGCACAATTCAGGCTAAGCAAGCAAGAAGCCCTGTAAGCTACTTAACTGGAAAAGCCCAAGTCTGACTATCCTATTAGAGCAGAGGAAGACCATGGACAGGAAAGAACCATTTCTTTTCAAGGCTGCAGCTGTCAGCGTTTCTTCAGATCTGGGTTTCTAAGTCACAACCAGTCTTTTGAATGTGTACAACACAGTAGTTAGAGGGGGAAAGAAAAAAATTTAACATGCCACCATCCAGTGGCTGCAGTATTTGCACAGCAACGGTAAGATCCAAATGCAATTTCCTCCTCTGATTTTTTGCAGGACACTGAACCAGTCCCTCTCCACTTCCAATAGACCCTACCTCATAAGGCCTGAGTTCTCCTTCCCTTTATTGCCAAATGAATCGTTAGTGTATGCAGAGCAATTGTGTTTCAAGCAGCAAAGCTAAAAGAATTGCATCAGCAGCCATTTTAGTTGGGTGGTAGAAGCACTGTACTGAAGAACGCAAGACTTGAATTCAACTTGCTGCTGCAAATCAATCAAGCAGTGGAGGGGACAAGAACCAGCACTTGTGTTCCAGGAAAGGGCTCTTTACCACCATATTCATGGATAATGGCATCATCACAGATGCATCTATCTATGTTTTGCTCCGAGTTAGGTAAGGACAGAAGACCTCTAAAGCACAACAGAAAGGGAAGGACTTGAATTTTAAGCCTCCCTTTCAAACACAAAAGAACTGTATTTCTTAAATGAGCCTTAAAAATAAAAAATAAAATAACCCTTTAACTCTGAGCTGAACCTTTAATTTGGATGCTTTAAGAATACAGAGCACAGGTAGTTCCCACTTACTTTTTAGCACGACTAGTAGAGATTCAATTACTAAAGGTGAAAGGACTCAACCCAGTATACAGGTGCTCCACCACAAGCAGCCAAGAACAGCATTGCCACAAGCACACACACTGTCCCATCCTTCCACCTCCCCATACCATCTCACTTTTAAGTGAAAGGAAAGTGACTCAACAGGCTTGTTATGGCATTTCAAGACTGCTGCAAAGCTTATTTGCACGACAAGTTTTCCTCAATCCTCAGTGTTTATTCAATGCAACATCTGACATACACAGCAGCCAGTTAACAAGGAGTTATTATTAGAAGTTAAACTGAGATAGTAAAACCATGTCACAATTCAGGAGTTTGTGCTAGAAGCCTTACCAGAGTCTTTAGGAAGTACATGTGGACCTCGCTCGGGGTTACCTATGCACAATGGAGAAAAAAAACCCAAACTATTAAGGTATCAAAAGCAGACTACAATGCAGTAACCTTGAAAAGGATTAGGAAAGATTAACAAATACTTTTCTACTGTTCAGAAATTCCTGTTAGGTTAGTCTTACCAGTGTCCTTAGGATTTGCAGGTTGAGTTGGCTTGGGTTCATCTGTAGTCAAATGGAATTAGAATAAAGTGAACAAAGTTACTAGTGTGAAGAGACAAAATGCAGAGCATATAGTAACCTTGAAAGACTATCTGACCTAAAAAGTAGCATCAAATCTTCCCCATGTAATTTTCCTTTCTTTTCATTAGCCAATGCTGTATTTGTTTGGTTATTTTATGTCAAACACTTCACTTTAATGAAATTAACATTTTTCTGCTGCATTATCCTGTATGTCAGACCCTTGCTATAACTGAACACATACAGAAGAACCCACTAAGTGTTATGCAGCATTTCAGTTTGCACATCTGATTTCAAATGGTAAACGTCTTTATATTTTTCTACCAGGTACAGATTACCTGGCTGTTTCCTCTTTTAAAACTACCAGATTTTAACCAATAATAGAGCTTGGTACCTCATTTAAGTAAAAATAAAAATTCAATAATTTTAAGAAAGATATACATAAAGCAGTAGAAATATAGTCTCCACAATGACATTTCATTTAGCTTGCCACAAAATAGGATAAGAGAGCTTAGTAATTATCGCTGTATGGTTTGGCTACAGACTGTTGCCTACATCAAATGACACACCAAGAGTGCGTTTCTAGAACTGGGTTTTCACCAACAGCTGAACCAATCTAGCAGCCCATTTCTTCTGTGTGCTACTTCTCCTTGACATTGCATGGTCTTGCCTCCTCCCAGCTCCAGGCACAAGTCAGATTGCGTCTTCTTAGGCTCTCTGCATACTCTAAGCGGCAGGCACCCGTACAGCACAGTTCTAAGACCCCAACTTAGGCCTGCCATCCTATAAAAAATTCTCCCCTCTTCACTTATCTGAACCATCTGATTCATTCAGCCAATTGTTTCTCAGTTAGCCAACTGTTTTCAAAAATGACAATGGTTGAAAACAGACAGCTTTAAGAGACAAAACTTCAAAAGGCTAAGTCAAACACAGCACCAAACAGTGCTACTGTCCTACAAATATATGCCCTGTGTTAGGAAAGCTGTCTATATTGCAACAGGTCTACTGATGGTACTTGAAAAGCTGTGTATTATCTGCCTAACTGGATACACCTTTTTACTGGCTGAGTGACAACACTTCTGTCTCTACTGCTTCCCACACTGTAGAGTTAAAGCACATTAGAAAGAGTAATTTTCCTCATACTGTAAAGTTTCCTTGTGCTACTAAAATTACTTCCTGGAAAGGAAGAGACTACTTCAGATTTAAAAACTACTTCCATAAGTAATAGTTTATGCAATTAGTGCCATCTAGTGAAGACACAGCAATGAAACAAGCAGGACTTGGCTGAGAAGTACATACATTTCTGTATGGTGATCCAGACCCTTAAAAATTAAGGTAAATAAACACACCTAGATTGCAATTATTTTTATCTATGGTCTGTTACCTCAATCAACTTAGTGCCATTATTATGTTTAGGTAATAAAGTACAGACAGACACTGTACCAAGTACTGACGTCTGTTGCCTCAATCAACTTAGTGCCATTATTATGTTTAGGTAATAAAGTACAGACAGACACTGTACCAAGTACTGAGCAGTATCCAGAAAAACATACTTACCAGGCTCAAGAGCGTGTTCCAAACTGAAATCCTCTACAAAGAAAGAAGGAAAGTTTTAAATGCAATTTAAAAACTGGACTACTTTAGACTATTTTAACACAAAATGCACCTCACAATGTTTTCACCAAGAATATAATGGCATGCTTATTCAACAGTGACCCACAGAGGAACACTACACAGTTACCAGACATTATCTCTCAAACTAGGTGCTGCTTGCGGTGACCATGGTACACGTCAAGGGCCATGTCAGAGCAAGCTCAAAATATACAGATTGAAAGCCAACAGAAGGTATTCTCATAGGGCCTTTAAGCTTGTGAAATCACAAAGTAAATTTGTGAAAGCACTAGGAGAAGACTCAAAAATGCAGAAATACCTTTACTATTAGGGAGCTGCTTTTTTTTTAATAGAAATACCACAATTCTGTGTGCCCCTAAATCTAAATATTCAGACTTTCAAATTAGTATGTACAACCACACTAGACTTCACGGGATTACCAAATGCATCTTCTAAGCTGAAGTCATCAAACTGCCTGTAGAAGATGAAAGCAACAGTATGAACAGTTTTTTCTCACTCAAAACCAACACTTATTACAGTCATAAACATGTTTCTGATCTATCTTGAGGAATGTTTTCTGCTTCCTGCATCAGACTAGAAGAACATTTTGAGTCAGGGCTGAAGACAGACATTCTTCTCAATTTCTCTAGAAAGAGACCACTATCCACACATCCCTTCAGGGAAAAAAAGTACTAAAAATTGTCTCTTTAGAAAGTATCTGGAGGGCCGGAACACATATTCCTACAGTCAATATAATGCACTTAATCCTTTATTCTTGCCACTGCTACTGCATGCTTTTAATGCTATCCACAGCATATTCTTTCCATTGAACCACAAAATGAGCAAGGGCACAGCTCCAATTCACAAGAACTTACAAGACTCGAGTGTGAAGGGCAGCCTTGGAGCACAAAGCCCAGTGTGAAAAGTATAGGTCAGGTAATGAATTTAATACCTTGGCATTAAAAATAATTTTCATGGGTTTGTAAGACTTATCTTTTCCCTTAACAAAGGCTAACAATATGAAGGTGGTGAAGTTTTTAGCACAGATGATCTTGAGCAGAATCATCAATTTCCTAAAAGGCCACTAAATGCAGCTATGAGCTCTCCACTGCAGGCAGATTAAGCTTCATTTTTGGCCCTCAGGAAAAGAACATTCTCTCTTGCTGTATTAGGTCAGTTGCTAGAGGTACTACTGCTTACTCAGCCAACTGCAAACACATTAATTCAATATATTCATGATACAAACTGGTTTTGCAGCATAAATATAGTAGTGTGATCTCAGCAGCAGAGGCCTGTCAGGTAAATGGACAGCTAAAACAACTGCTTGGGATATTTCTGATAGTTTATCATTCCTGCTGTCACGGAAGTATGGAAAAAGGCATGAAAGTAGATGCCAGCTATTGAAGAAAAAAAGACATACAAAAACACCACTCCAGCCCCAAAGAAGCTCCAAGACTTTTTTACCTAATGAGCATCAAGACAGCCAGAGGAAAACTTAACTCCAGGCAGAGCTACCTTAATTCAGAAGATAAATGCATAAAGCATTGATGCGCCTGGCTTTTCCTTAAGAATGTAGCTACAGAAGAGGAACCAGAACTCACTACTGCAAAGTCTGAAGAGAGGAATAACAACCTCAAAAACCAAACCACAAGCATAGTGTTCCTTTTCTGCTTACATGACAAGGCAAATTAAGAC